CCTCCTCCTCCCCTGCTCCTCCTCCTCCTCCGCCCCGCTCCTCCTCCTCCTCCTCCTCCTCCTCCTCCGATCGCCCCTTTGGTGACGACGCCGCAGGGCAAGATGGGGATGATGGTCGGGTGGTCTCGCACCTGAAGCTCGGGTCGACGGGGCGGGGACCGGGACGCTCCCCACGTACATCACCGAGAACTTTCTCAGCATTGTGTATTTCATTATGGAGAAGCGTGATCTGAGACGAACGAGGTGTCTACTTCCTTGTTTCGAGAAGTGCGACACGATGCCGAACTTGTCGCTGGATCTGAGAGGGTGTGGACGCCGCTGTGTTGGACACAGTTCCGACCTGCTGGGACATGGCTCCCATCTGCCCCTGTAGGTTCCTGATTGCTGCATCCATCGCTGCTGTGGTACCCTCCATATGCTCTCAAAGCTCATATGGTGTGTTGCCAGTTCGATACCGCCGACGCTGGCCACCACCATCATGAGCAACACAAGCCTCCTCGAGAGCGGCCATGAGACACGCCTGCTGAGACGCGGTGTCGCCGAGTGCCACTGCGGCTGGTGAGAGGCGAGAACCGGAATGCCTGAAAAGCCGTGGTGCCTGCCGAAGGCAGGCTGTGTCCAGACTCAGGGACCACTTCGATTCCCCCCTGTGGGGCACCTCGAGCGTGGGTGCGTCCACAAACGGCGACGAGTTGAGCCAAAATGGCTATGGATTCTCGTCGTTGTCGTCGTCGTCCTCAGCCTCCTCTTCCTCCTCCTCTTCCTCTACCTCCTCATCTCCCTCCGCCTCCGCCCCCAGCTGCTCCTGTGCCTCGTCCTCCTCCTGCTCCTCCTCCTCCTCCTGCTCATGGTCACCTCTTCCTCTTTCACCTCCTCCTCCTCCTCCTCCTCGCCCGTCCCCCTCGTTCTCCATATCGTTGACCTCCTCTACCTCGCTGTCCTCCGCCATGTCCTCATGGTCGCCATCGTCCTCCTCCTCGCCCTCCGACCGTTTTCGACTCAAATCGCCAGGCGGGCCAGCGATCGCTCCGCCTCCGAACGAGGAGATGCGGACGAAGCCCTTGCCACGCCTGCCGCGCTCGTACACGTCCACGCTCACCTGGCCAGGCCATCGCGCGCGCGGATAGTGCACGCTCGCGACGCGCCCAAATGATGCTTCTCCAGAAATCACAGATGAGGCGGGTGGGGGGGGGGATGAGGCGTTGAATCGTTCTCCCCCTCCTCCCTGGCCACTGCTTTCAGGAGTTTGTCGAGGGTCGTGGGTACGAAGGAGAAAGAGGCGACGCACAGGAGGAAGAGGCACCTGGAGGAACTGGGAAGAGGGGGACAGGGGGCACGGCATGAGGATGCCCGTGTATGAAGGGGAACTGGGACACACAAATAAATAGCCACAGATAACGAGATTTCCAAATTTTCCCGTGTTTTCTGGATTTCTGTTTTCCCCCCCTACTTCCCATATTTTCCCTTTTTTACTGGGGAGTCGACGACTCATTGTGTCTGTGTGTTTTTTCCCCTCCTGACAGGTGCCCGTGCAATCCTTTCCAGGTGCGTTGCCCCTGCTCCCCTCCTCGCCGCCCGGGAGTGCTTATCTTGCCCTGGTGCAGGTCCTCCCTGCTGCATCCCCTCCCGTTTCTCCTCGTTCTCCCTTCTGACTACCTACCAGACCACCCCAACCCAACCCGAAGACCCGAATTTCGGGTTGGGGGGGGCAAGGGTTCCACGCGTGTTTTTTCGATGTTTCCCGACCCCCCCCCACTAGAAATCGAGGGTAAATCTGAGCCTTCGGGTTGGGTTGGGGTGGTTTGGTGGGTGGTGACCTTCAGCCCTCCTCCCTCCTCTCCCTTCGTGCACGCAGCACCTCCCTCCTACCTCAGGGGAAGGTGCAAGCGGGAAGGTGCATGCGAGCCAAAGGAGGAGGATACGGAACATACTTCCACAATGATGGCGGATCAAACGAAGAGGAGAAACCAGGAGCACGAGAAACATAACCGGCCATGGACGCCAGGTCGAGGATGGGAAGACTAAGACAAATGAGCGTAACAAGCAACCGTTATGATATTGGCGGCAACAACGAAAACGTATAACTAAGAGCGATAGGATCGAGGATCCGTGGACATCTAGAGATGTGTGGGAGGGGGGATGGGGCTTCGAACATGTATCACATACACACGCAAGCCATTCCTAAAACATAGACACACAGTCATACAACCTTTGTAGCTGTACACGAGTGTGTATACATGTGCATCTGTATAGTCTACGTGCCACTCGTGCCATGCACACACGTACATGTGAGCACGTGTACATGTACGCTAGAACCCTCGCGCACGCTTCGCGCGTGCTCAGGTTCTAGCGCAGTGTGGGAGGGTCGCTGGAAGAGCCTGCACAACGCTATCATGCACAAGCGCGTGCCATAGTCGTACCCATCCTCACCCTGATCCTCATTCCTATGATCATGCTCTTCCCCATCATTCGACTCATCGTCCTCATAATAATCATCATGACCATAACCACCATCAACGACAATGGGGAACATCCTTGGCCCAATGCCGCTGGCCGTTCCGTCACGTCAAACTCGCGTGTAATCATCCTCCTGATCCTCCTCCTCCTTCTCCTCCTCCTCCTCCACCTCATCATCATTATCATCCACATCTTCATCCAGATCAACATCATCATTCTCGCTCCCATCACCGTCATCATCACAATCGCTACGCCAATCGTGCGCGTCGTCACTGTCATCGCCCTGCCCATCATTATCAGTATCACCATCATCACCATCACTATCACCATGACCATGACCATCACCGCTCTCTGCGAGGCCTCCAGGAACATCCGGCCGACTGCGCGCCTCGGGCCGCCTCCAGGAGGCGTCTGGGTTGGTTTGGGGGGGCGGGCGGACTTCTGGAATTAGGAATTAGCTGCAGGTTCTCTCGGGGCCCTCTCCTGTCGTTTCGGGGGCCCCTTGGGTCGTCTGGGGGGCATCGAGAAGCCTGAGAGGCTGGCCCATCGAGAGCGACAAGGCGAATTCTTCGGAGCCTGCAGCTTCCCAGCGGTTGCCGAGCGAATTTTTTGCCTGCGCCCTCTCTCCGCCGTGACAAACAGGGGCAACTCGGCCATGGGTCATCAGAGCATTTCGGATTCTGGCCGTTAGGACCCGCGTGGGAGCGTGAACGTCGTGGGGGCGCGCGAAGCTCTGATCAAGGCCATCCAACCATAGAATCAGGATCATGAACGCAATCGAAAACCACCATGACAGCGACGGCCACCAGGACGACAAAAGACCCTCAGCACGCCCAGCCGCAACGCGGGCGCGACGCTGCGCCTCCTGCCGGCAATTACCCGGAGAGCCGCCATCGCTCGGCATCGACCAGAGAGGACAGAGGGCAGGGACAACCTCGTGGGGCGATGGCCCGCGCACGTAGCACTCAGGGCAAGCACACCACACAAGAGGGGGAAGACCGTTTACAAGCCGCCTTAGCTGCCCCGATACGCAACACGCAACACGTAGCGCATTGACCTCGCCATCGCTCGGACGTCCATTTCCCGTGCATTTTTCGGTTTCGTGCGTGTTTTCTTTTGCTCGATGGTCCAGGATCGTCCTCAATGGTTCTCGCCGAGAAAAAATGCACACGTCCGAGCGATGCCAGGTTGACACGGAACCGAACACGTGGGCTGAAAACGCTGGCCTGGCGCGAACGCGGGCCCACACGCGGAGCCGACACCCGGCGTGTGTGGACACGGACGCTGTGAGCACGGCACCAGAAAACGAACACAGACACCCTCCAGTGGATTTCTCTCCGGGGCAGTATAGTCGGGGCGTTGACCTAAGGAACCCTAAATTAGGAACGAGGCCCCTTTTTTCCATAAGTTAACCTTCGATTTCCGGTCGAAGACATAAGGAAAGGCTGAGGCAAGCTGTGAAACACTCAAGGAACGCGGAGCCCCTCCCCAACGAAAAGGGTTCCTTCTTCAGGGCCCCGACTGTATAGGGGCAGGGTAGCGGTGCATCAATCACCACTGAGAACCAGGGCCTTGATACGCCGCCGCCGTCCCTGAAGGCACACGCAGAGCTCGTCCGAGGGGGTCCGTGCACATCTGTGCTCGTGGCGTGCTTGCGCACGGCACGTGCCGCGCCCCAGAACGGGGGCGCACCGAGGCAGCCAAGCGGGCGCCACCTCCGACCCCGCCATGCATCGGCCATGCACCGGCGACGTCGGCGCTGCATCGGCGACGTCGGCGTGGCGAGCATCGGGCCCCACATCGAGCCGCGCAGCCGACGCACCGCCGACGCATCGGCGAGGGCATCGGCGATGCGGCGCGGGCCTCCGACCCCGCCTGGGAGGCCTGGCCGCCCTCGCCGCAGCGGCGGGCGGCCTCCGGGGGCGCCCGCCCCTCGCCCGCCGTGGGCGACCCCCCCCCCCATGGGGGGGCCTCGGCGCGCGCGCGACACCGCCTCGGCCGCCCAGCGCGCGCTCCCGCCGCGTTCGGTGGCAACTCATGGGAGCCCTCTGCGAATCGACGTGGATCGACGCTGCATCGACGCTGAATCGACGCTGGCCGACGCTACATCGACGCGAGCCGACGCTGTCCCGTCGACTCTCAGACGCTGCTCGGCTCCAGCCGACGCCACAGGCGGAAGTGAGTGGGTATACAGTCAACCCGGATAGTCAGGATGCGCGATAAGGATGCGAGGGCCCTGGCTGCCCATTTCGAAGCGTTTCCAGTGGGGCGCGGCCGACGAAAGCGTCCAAGGATGCACACCCGAGGAGGAGGAGGAGGAGGAGGAGGAGGAGGAGCAGGAGGAGGAGGAGGACGAGGAGGAGGAGGAGGAGGACGAGGAGGAGAACTTGAAGGACGAGGAGGAGGAGGAGGAGGAGGAGGAGGAGGAGAGCAAAGGCACCCTGTGAAGGATGCCTGTCCTCACTGCGCGGGTTGACTGTCTACCGAAGCTCCCCCGGCCTGCTGCCGAGGCCGCCGCACTCGCCGGCCTCGGGGGGCGCCGCTCACACGAGCTTCTCGCCCGCCTCGACCCACCGGGTCAGGGGGGTCGCCCCCCGCAGCACGGGCCGCAGGCCGAGGAACTCGTGCCTCGGGCGCGGCCGAGGCCCTCCTCCTCCCTCCTCCTCCTCCTCCTCCTCCTCCTCCTCCTCCTCCTCCTCCTCCTCCTCCTCCTCCTCCTCCTCCTCCTCCCTCCTCTCTCCTCCCTCCTCCTCCTCCTCCTCCTCCTCCTCTCTCCTCCTCCCTCCTCCTCCTCTCTCCCTCCTCCCCCCTCCTCCTCCTCCTCCTCCTCCTCCTCCTCCTCTCCCCCTCCTCCCTGGCAAAAACAGTCCCCGTCCGTGTCGTCATCCTCGCCTTCTCGAGCGCCCCCCCCGGGCCGCACTGCATACGAGTCTTCGGGCGAGGCGGGGGCGACGTCACGGGAGGGGATGTCTTGCCAGGGATCGATGAGGCCGCCCTCCTCCTCCTCCTCCTCCTCCTCCTCCTCCTCATCCTCCTCCCTGGCAGGCCGCCCCTGCGTGCCTGATCCAGATCCAGAACAGGATGCTGCTGAACGTGCCGAGGCCGGCGAAGACGTGCCAGAAGACGTGGAGGTAGAGCATGCTGACGTGGGGGCAGAAGTTGCGGTCCACGAGCCACAGCAGGAAGCCACCCCCGTAGAACAGCAGCCCCGTCTCCAGCAGCATCACCGTCCCCGGAGCGTTGTACTTGACATCGTAGCGCCCTGACGCAACGAAGAGATACAGGGTTTGGCTCCCATAAAATAACAAAAACACATCCTGGCTGCTCGTGTCTAAGATAATAACTGCCAAAGTCATTAGTACTTCGGCCGCGGCGAATGCAAACATCAGACCGCGTCTGGGCTCGCGATCCATGTCGTCTTCCATGGTGATCAATATGTAAATGAATACGCCGTCTGCCCACAACATGGGTAGTTCGTCTAGCAGCTGCATTGATCGCCACAGCGTGCCATGAAAAGCAGCGCTTCCTAAGCCTACGACAATGAATGATGCAAAAGCCACCACGTAGCGAGGCTCAACTGCCCGCCAGTGCATCCACATGCCATACGACCCAATGACCACGATCGCCAGCGAGGACAGCGAGTTCCAGAACTCGGCGATGTAAGCCGTGACCGCGTAATCGGCCTCGCACCAGTTCACAGACGCAGTTTTGGCGCCCCAGAAGCCCTCCGTGAGGTCTCCGGCGCCATCCACGGGCCCCCGCGCCACCATGAGACCCAGCAGTGGCAGGACGGCCATCACCACGGCACCGCAGGCTGCCCACAGCGGACGCGCTCTCTTCGTGGCCACGGGGACCTGGGGGGCGTGGCCATCCGTCATGGCCCAGCACGGAGGTGGCCCTCCCCCTCCTCGAGGCAGCCCGACGAGGTGTATGGCTGAGAGGCGCGCGCCAGGAGCAGAGAGAGTGGATGGCGGAGAGCGCCAGGCCCAACCTTGACTCGAAGAAGATGGCAGTTCGAGCAGAGAGAGGGGCACGAAGCCCCAGGCCCAACCCTGCTGGCACCCCTCCAGCCGAGGCAGCCCGAGCTTGAGCCAAAATGGCTACGGAGGTTATCGAACGATTGGGACGTCCTGTTGGACTCTTGGAAGCCTCTTGGGAGATCTTGGAGGCCTCTTGGGGGCCTCTTAGTGCTGCCTTGGGGCCACGACGGTGCTTCGCAGGCTGTCTTACGGCGCTGTTGGCCAGTCTGACGCCTTCGGAAGCTGTCAGGCTGGGCTCTTCGAGATCGCTTGGGTCGCTTGGGGAAACGTCTTGGTGGCCTCTGGGGCTCCCGTAATCATCATCATCATCATCAACATCATCATAATCCTCAGCATCGTAATAATCATCATCATCATCGTCATCATCATCATCAGTATCATCATCATCATCATCATCATCATCATCATCATCCTCATTCTCGTCACCACCATCATCATATCCTGAACCTGCGCCAATACCGAGACCACGAGGCACAACGAAACAGGTGATACTACACCTCAGCAGTGGACACAGAAGCAACGGCGACGTGCAGCAATGGATAGAACACCTCAATCACCACGATTACCACATAACAACACTATCCATCGTCACTACCCGCGACGAGATTAAGAGCGACCTCGCGAAATGGGATACGATACACTTCTGGAGAGACCAGCTACTACGTGGGCGGGCGGCCGCCATTACTGCGGAACCATCGAGCTAGACTTGGAATGGATACCAAACCCGCCCCCTGAGGAGCCGACAACATCCCTGGGAACTACATCACCTGTCTCCTCAGCAATTCGAGCAAGTACACACAGATAACAATATCATGCGGATTACGATACTGCTGGCATACATATGCATCAACACCAAGGTCCGCATGATCATGGAGTTCCCCGCCACCATTAACGACTGCAGGAACACAGCAAGCTGTTGGCTACTACCAGAAGTTACAAACATGGTTGGCATTGACGGGGTGGACCCCACTACCTTCGACCAATGCATGGCAATGCATGACTGGACACGCAGCAACGAAACCGACTACACTACTCACAATACAAGTACCATAATTACGACGGACGATCGGACAACTACCCAACAGCGGAAGAAGAAATCACAGCTCAGGACACAGCCACAACTCAACAGGACAGAGCAATCACGGCAACGGGCACAGATACATCGAGAAGACCCACACCGCGGAGACATGTAGAGTTCTGGCTTGCGCCGTCATGGACGCCATCTACCGCAGATGGGCCCAGCCAGGAGACGGCCAGGACTGGGACCCGGAAAGCGACGTGATGAATTTCTACGCCCCCCTGGACCCGTACTGCTACATGTGATTGACCAGAATACTGCCACGACCACAAGCCTGAGGGGGCAACGAGCGCGCCAGGCAGGCGACGGATGGTGGCCGCCCCGCAAATGCGGGCCAAGGCGGTCCATTGCTTAGTATACAGCCAATGTTCTCAGCAGTGGTTCTGGCACGCCTCAACGTGGCGTCCGATCGCCTACCCTGTTGAAAAATGAAGCTTCCGCCCCAATGCCATGAACTGCGCATACTCAAATTTCACACCTGACTCATCACAACCGTAGCGCTGCTTCGGCTCAAGAGCTAAGCGCAGCCGACCCGCCCGCACTTGGCGCCGCCATTGCCAAGAGCAGCACGTCATGAATCCTTTTCTGTTTACATCCTCAGAGGCTTACAATACCTGATCAAGATCAGAAGAAGACATACGGATACCTGCAGACGTGTTTGGCAAATTACCCAAGTTCATCGACATCACCGAGGTCAAGCTCCACTGCACCAGCGAGGTCAAGGACTTAGACCACGCCAACCAGCTACGAGCTGCAGTTATCAAGTCAGCCCCACGCAGGAGACGAAGCGAGGCCCCACCGGAGTACCAACAAGATGGACTGCCGACTCGCATGTCCTACAGCAGGGGCTACGACAGCACGAAGGCGCTCATCTACACCCCTTGGGACCCCCACGCAGAACCACAGGGCGCCGCTCCTCGCAGCGGCAGTGTAAGGCCATCCCAAGGAGTCAACACGGCTGAGACCTTGTCGCGCAGCTACACCTACGTCTACCTCGACCTGGGCTGCATCGACGTACCCGCGGCAGTGAAGGGAGGCTTCGTACGCGCCACCTGCCGACGCCACATCACGATCGCCTACCTCGCAGCAGCTGGGGAATGCTGGAAGGACAAGGTCAAGGAGAGCTGGGCCACCGTAGTGGACAGCTTCATCGTGCACTCCAACAACGAACTATGGACCGACGCATACCATTGGATGGATCGACTTGATTATTGCCCTCACTACCGCACTGCTACGAAATACCGAACACAAGAAGATGCAGCAAACGACCGAGACCCCAAGAAGATCCCCGTCCACAACTTGGAGTGGCACAACATCCAACGGCTGGCAACCACCGTGCCACCACTACTACAAGCACCACCTTGGAAGAACCAGGACGAAGAGCCCTTCGCGAACCTCCAGACGCTACGCATCCTCAAAAGGATAGGCATGGAAAAGCGCCACAACTTCGAAGAGATCGCGCGCAAAGCCATCAACGGCAACCTAGAGAGATACACCCAGAATGCGTACATCGTGGCGATCGCCGACATATGCGGCACGCTGCACCCCACCTCAGAAGTTTGTATACTGGCAGCATGCGCAAGAGACATCGTGGAAACCCGCGGAAGAGGGGCACTACACCCACGCGCGGACAACTACATCCTACCCGTCAGCCGCCACCATTTTATACCACAAACGATTTGCGGACTGCACTGCGAAGAAGCCGACCTCAGAGGTCAGCGAATACAAGTTTACTTCTAATTTGCCACCAACGAGAAATCGCACTACTATCAGCATGGACAGGCACATGCCGAACGCCACCACTACCCATGAAGGAGATCGACCACGTGACGATTCAAAAACTAAGCTCGCCCACCAGCGACTTCCCGAGGTGGCCCTCCATCATCGACAACGCCCTCATCGAATGCCCAGCCAAGTTTCTGCAGGAGATCACCGCGACCTCGGAGACATGCGCAGCAAGAACCGACGGAACCACCAACGTCCACGCGGAGGCCCACAAGCAGGATATCGTCGTTCACCACGTCGAGTTTACCCCAGATGGAGATGTCGTACCAGAGGTAAGACAGAGACCTGATCACCAGCATACGAGCGACCCGCAGAAATACTGCTAGGCGGCATCATGCTGATCGAGGTCAAAGACATCGACAAGCTGTCTGAACAAGACGCCCACAAAGCAAGACAGTACCTCAACGAGGACGCGGACAACCGCGGCTCTCGCCATTTGCTTCAGCACCACCAGAATCGCAACGCTGGCTTTCAGCCCATCAATTGGACCCAGAGCTGCTTCCCAGACTGGAATGCATCCTTTCCAGAAGTCCGACCACAACGAGCGCAGCGACCAGCGCGAACTATCCCAGCACATGCTGACCTGCAGCTCATGCAAAAGCAGGTCAACACCACAGATCCAACAAACCATTCCTCTACCTATGCCGGCAATCTTCCAACTCGTATACAACCAGAACGTGGCTCCGACACCGTATCAGCCGCCGCCGCCAGAGGGGCCATCCCCCAGGCATAGCCCCCATACAAACCGCAACGACGACGCCGACCCCCCCGGTACTTCCGCAAGCCCGTCGCCCCGCCAAGGCACAGTCAAGGCGACGTCCCGCGGCCCGACTCCAACCGCCACGCGATGCTGCCACCGCCGCCGACGTAAGCAGGAGCCTCGCTTACTACATCCCTCGTCGAAATTGAACGCAAGTTTTAGCCGCGACCTGGCGGCGCCCCCCGACCCCCAATTTCAATGTTCACGCCGACGCCGGCGACTTCGAGATTTTCTTCGGACCCCGACGGCCGCGATGCGCCTGTCGATGAACATTGAAATTTGGGGGCGACGGGGGTGGAAAAAACTTGCGTTCAATTTCGACGAGGGTTGTACCACAACGCGCAGACAGGCATCACCCAGTGGAGGCCCCCAGGCGACGCCAACTACGACCCATGCTGCACTCGACAGCTCACCGATCAGAACGTCCAGGCCTTCAGCATCAAGAAGGACGGCTGCTTCTACCACAGTCCCAGGCCGATATTCCCCCCTCCCAACGATCACCCCCCCAACGCCAGAGTACCCTGCGAAGCGAGAGCAGGTCGACAAAGCAATGACGCAGACCACCCACGACCTACCCGACAAGCTGAGGGCCCAATAACAACGGGAACATTAAGCACACGAGTGGGTCGATCGAGCACATCTTTGGCGCAGCGACATCGCAGGCGGCACCTTCTTCTCCCACCCCAAGGTCAACCAGGATTACAGGTCGCTCCTCACGTCGGCACCGACATACTCGTGGTCACACCTATGCTGGAGGGAAGCCCACACCCTCCACCCGTCAGTCACACCATCCTCCGCATGAAGCAGCTGCGCAGCCCCAGACCAATACTTGCACCATGCGACGACCACAGCACTTTCGACCGCGAGATGCACATCGAGATATGACCGACTCGAGACGCGAGCACACACGAAATCACCATGCACAAGCACGAAGACACGGCAATGACCGAGGGCAACAACACGGCGCACTTAACGAACGACGAAGCACCTACGAGCAGCGCAGACGCACCTACCAGCGCAACCCCATCAACCATATCACCAGCACCGACTTCAAAACCAGCAGCGAAGCCTGCGAGATTCAAAGCACCACCTACCCTACCGACAGTCCGAGAGGAAACAGCAGAACAGCCTACACACGTGATCGACTACGAGGTCAAGACCAAACAGCACGAACTCGACTCACAGGAGCAACGCGCAACCACCAGTGAACCCAGC